ATTGTGAAGAAGGCCAAAAAACTTTAAAGGACTATTTTGAAATCAATTTGAACACTTCGGTGGAAAAGAGAACAATCTGGGACGCAAGTAAAGCTGTAATGAGGGGGTTTCTGATACAACAGAACACAATCAAGAAAAAACTTTGGAATGGGAAAAAAGATAGGATATTAGAGAAGATAAGAGAAGGAGAGAAAAATTGAGATTAAAACCAAAATCAAAAGAGGTTTTAAGAGAAATCAAATTCCACCAAGCTCAATATGCGAAATTGATAAATCAAGAAGTGGAATGGAAAATCAAACAAATGAAACAAAGATCATTTGAATCGGCAAATAAATGTGGAAAACTGCTAGCATGGCAGTTGAAAAGAGACAAAAATTGAACTTTGTTACTAATCTAGAGGTGGAAGGGAGAAACATTCAGAAACCAGAAGAAATTAGAAAGTGTTTCCAGAAATATTTCAAAAAACTTTATACACAAGGGCCTCAGGAAGTGTCTGAGATAGATCAATTCTTAAAAGTTAACGGTCTATCCAAACTATCTCAGGAGAAGAGGACAATCTTAAATAATAGAATAACACGACAGGAAATAGAGGGTGCCATTCAGAATATGCAACTAGGCAAATCTCCAGGCCCAGATGGACTTACCTCCAAGTACTATAAGACACTAAAAGACTATTTGATACAACCACTAATGGAGGTCTGTAACCAGATTATGGAGGGGAGGAGGGCACCGGAAACGTGGAAAGAAGCTTTCATCACATTGATTCCTAAATTGGAATCTGAAAAGACTCAGCTTAAGAACTACCGTCCCATCTCACTCCTAAATGTGGATTACAAAATTTTTGCTGATATTTTGGCGAGCAGACTTAAAAAATACTTAACGAAGTAATTCATAAGGACCAGGCAGGCTTTCTCCCAGGGAGACATCTTTTGATAATACCAGGAACATTATTGATATTTTGGAACTTTTACATAATAATATAAATACGAAAGGTGTGTTAATTTTCATCTACGAGGAGTAGGCCTTTGATAATATTTCTTGGATGTTTATGAATAGAAAAATGGATGGGATGGGAGTGGGAAGAGGGTTTGAAAATGGAATAGAAGCAATTTATTCTGAGCAAAAAGCTAAACTGATAGTAAACAATGTGGTGACAGATGAGTTTAAAATTGAAAAAGGGACACGACAAGGGTGCCCTCTATCCCCCCTTTTATTTATTTCAGTCCTGGAGGTGTTACTGAACATGATTAGGAAGGACCGGTTGATACAAGGAATACAGGTCGGAGCGAAACAATATAAATTGAAAGCTTTTGCAGATGATTTGGTTTTAACATTACAGGAGCCAGAGTCTAGTACAAAAAGAGTATTAGAATTGATTCATGAGTTTGGTCGGGTGGCGGGATTTAAGTTGAACAAGCAAAAAACTAAGGTTTTGGGGAAAAACTTGACACCCTCAGAAATAGATGGGTTTCAGAAGGAAACAGAACTAAGTGTGGTAAAAAAGTGAAATACCTAGGGGTTCACTTGACAGCGAAAAATTTGAATCTATTTAAAGACAACTATGAAAAATGTTGGCTGGAAATCAAAAAAGATTTGGAAATCTGGTCAAGATTGAAACTTTCCTTGTTAGGTCGAATTGCTGCTATAAAAATGAATGTATTGCCGAAAATGTTATTTTTGTTTCAAACCCTACAGATTGTGGACAGAGTGGAATGTTTTGGAAAGTGGCAGAAGGATATATCCAAGTTTGTTTGGCAGGGCAAAAAGCCCCGGATAAAGTTTAAAATACTAACTGACTTGAAAGAAAGAGGGGGGTTTGCCCTGCCGGACTTGAGATTATATTATGAAGCTGCGGCCTTCTGCTGGATGAAAGATTGGTTACTTCTTGAGAACACTGATGTTCTAGATCTGGAAGGGTTTGATAATGCTTTTGGTTGGCATGCATATTTGTGGTACGACAAGGTAAAGGTTCATAAAATGTTCAAAAATCATATTGTTAGAAAATCAATATTTATGGTCTGGACAAAATACAAGGACTTATTAGAGGGTAAGACTCCGAGGTGGCTTTCACCAGCAGAGGCCAAGGCCCGGAAAAACCTAATATGGAGGTTGGTTGGCTGAAATATGGGGAAATTATAGAAAAAGTAGGAGAAACTTGGAGGCTGCAGAGTTATGAAAAATTAAAGAATAAGGTGCAAAATTGGCTTCACTATGCTCAAATTCAAGAGGTTTTTAAGCTGGACAAAAGAACAGGTTTCCAGGTGGAAAAATCGAAACTAGAGACAGAATTGTTGGAACCAAAGACCAAGGTACTTTCGAGAATGTATATCTTGCTGCTTAAATGGAACACTCAGGATGAGACAGTCAAATCAGCCATGATAAAATGGGCTCAGGACATTGGGTACAACATTATGTTTGAAGACTGGGAAAGGTTATGGACCACTGGTATGAAATTCACGGCATGTAATGCCTTGAAAGAGAATATTATGAAAATGATATACAGGTGGTACATGACCCCAGTCAAGCTTGCTAAGATATATCATTTGTCTGATAATAAATGTTGGAAATGTAAGGAGGCTGAAGGGACATTCTTTCACCTCTGGTGGACTTGCCCAAAAGTGAAGGCCTTCTGGGAAATGATCTATAATGAGTTAAAAAAGTGTTTAAGTACACTTTTCCCAAGAAACCAGAGGCCTTCCTACTGGGCATTGTCGGTCAGAAGGTGTTAAAGAAGGATAGAACCTTTTTATGTATGCAACTACAGCAGCAAGAATTCTTATCGCAAAATACTGGAAGACTCAAGATTTACCCACACTGGAAGAGTGGCAGACGCAATTGATGGGCTACATGGAATTGGCCGAGATGACTGCCAGGATCCGAGATTTGGAGGAAGAAGCAATGGAGGAGGATTGGAAAAATTTAAAGATTATTTACAAAAATTTTACAAGTTATATGAATGTTAAGAATTCGCATGATTAGGGAAATTCAGCTCCAGCAATAAGATTAAGGTATGGGAAACTAAGCTAAATTAATGAAAGGACTAACGTTTAAAAGAACATTATATATATTATTAGTGTAAATTGACAATAAGCATTTTAAACGCAAATCATAAGTATTTGAAAGAACAAAAGAATGCACGAAATAAGGTTATAATTTGCTGAAAAATTTTATTGTAAAGAACGCAAGGTGAGGGGGACGGGGGGAAGTCCGGTTGGTTATGGAAAAATGCTTTGAAAAGATGATTTTCTTCTTTTTTCTTTTTCTTTTCTGTTATTTCTTTGTATATCTGACCTTGTATTTCTATCTGGAAAAATGCAATAAAAAATATTATAAAAAAAAAAAAAAAGAACAGTTTCAGGTTAAGAACAGACCTCCAGAACGAATTAAGTTCTTAACCCAAGGTACCACTTTAGTTTAAAACCATGTTGATGGCAGCCTTAATCATTTTCATGAGGCTTATGTATTATAATCGGGGTAGAACTACACTGAGACTGCTTAAAAAGCTAGGCACAGGTCCTACCTGAAACTTACAAAAATTTCCTGCAGATTAACTAGGATAGAGGTACTGAATTTTCTGCTTATGGTATCTTGGCAAACATTTAATGGTTTCCTATGGTTACAAATAAAAAAATAAAATCTATTTTTAATAGGGACTTAAAGCTCTTGAGAACACAGTTCGAACTCTGCCACTCAACCCGAGTACCGTATTGGAGTAGGCAGCCAGAGGGCCGGAGAACGAAGAGGCCCTGCTTTCTTCCTAGCAGATGTCAACACTTAGCTCCTGTTTTTGAAGGATTTGGGTACCATACAGTCGTGTCCTACACCAGCCAGCCTGCCCGCCATCACGTTAAAGCAGAGAGGTAACGTCTTCCCATCGGTACACAAGATTTCCATTTAGCAGAAAAAAAGGGGGGGGATATTTTTGTTAATAGCACTGCGCTGGTCCATCTCCCCAATGCGGCAAGTGCCCTTCTGTCAATCAGAGACCACCTGAGCCAGCTGACCTTCAGCACTGCTATGCTACACATGGGCAGGTCAGAAATCTATTTGTAAGTAGCTACAACTGGATCGACTGGAATGGTTGTCTTTTCTTCCATGCACCTTTCTCTTCCTGCCTTGCCTGCTTGAAGCTTCTTTTAAAATAATGCCTCTTAAAGGCTTGGGTGCCTTTTGTGTCGGATTTAAAAGGCATATTTGATGTCACCAATGATTTTTAATCTTGTATTTTTATATTGTTATAGCGAGAGACCGAGAGAGGACTACCGTATTTTTCGCCCCATAGGGCACACTGGCCCATAGGGTGCACCTAGTTTTTTTGGGGGGGGGGGGAATAAAGAAAAAAAAATTATTTCCCCCCCAGGCGCGGGGCTTGGGCGGGGGAAGCCCGAGCTTCCCCCGACCCCAGCCCCCAGAACAGGCTGCTCTCTGCAAGCCGTGGGAGCCCGGCGGGAACTCCCGCAGGCTCGCAAGGCTTGCGGATAGCTTCCTGAAGCCCTGAGAGCGAGAGGGGTCGGTGCGCACTGACCCCTCTCGCTCTCCAGGCTTCAGCGAAAGCCTGCATTCGCCCCATAGGACGCACAAACATTTCCCCTTCATTTTTGGAGGGGGAAAAGTGCGTCCTATAGGGCGAAAAATACGGTATATAGCTGACTGCTGGGAGCAGGGGCAAAATTAAACAAAAATCATGACTGAACTGGGCTTTTTGCTGACACAACACCTTTTTTTTGTTTGAACTGATGTGATCTCCAGGAACAAAGTTGCCCCTGGGCAAAACTCTAGAAAAAGAGCAGCCTAACAAACCAGCTTATGCTTCCCCTAGATGCATTTTTCACTAAGAGCTGGTTCACTAGGGGCATTATATGGTGGTTGGGTGGGGAATGGTCAGAAGGTGGGAAGAGTAAAGCAGGGGAAATGATCCATAGAATCATAGAATTGTAGAGTTGTAAGGGACACGGAGGATCCTGTGTAGTCCAACACCCAGCAATGCAGGAATAGGGAGCTGCCCCATATGGGGATCGAACCTGCAACCTTGATGTTATCAGCACCACACTCTAACCAACTGAGCTCAGTGGTGAAGGAAGCCCCTCGGGCGCCTGGGGCAGTGCGCCTGGGGCGCACCACAGGGCCCTGGAGTCTACCTGCCTCCTCCCACTCAGCCACCCTACAGCGGGGGGGGGAGAGGCAGTGGGCGAACCGTTTAGACACACATCGTTTCGCGGCACAGTAATTCAGTTTCGTAGCAAACTGGAGGTTAAACTAACCCCTTACCAGCCCCAGGAGGAGTGCGGGGAGCATTTGTACGACACAGTTTGGAAAGCTCTGTCCTCAAGAGACTACAGTGGGCTTTGGAAGACCCACATCACAGAATACGCAGGCTTCTCCTTCTGTGATAATCTTGATTACCAATGAATAGCAGAGGCTTCTGATGATTCCAAGAAGTGCTTCAAGGCACACAGACTTCTCCTTGTAGCTTGATCTGAATAGTAGCCTAATTCTGTGTTCCACAGCCCCAGGTTATATGCACAGGGTTCCAAACAGGGTGGCATGAGATCTGAAACAGGCAGCTGCTCTCTAATCAGCAGCCACCTCATGCGTCCGCACAGGTGCAAGTGGTGGCACCCAAGCTACCACTGTAGGGGGATAGCTCCCCCACCCCTCTGCTTTCTACACATCTCTGCTAGGAATTAAACCCCAAATAATTGCCTTAAAGACAAGAAAAATACAGACAAGTGCGACTGGCTAATTCCAATCCTCTACCCTTAAGGGCAAGGGACGCAGGTGGCACTGTGGGTTAAACCACAGAGACTAGGACTTGCCGATCAGAAGGTCGGCGGTTCGAATCCCCGCAGCAGGGTGAGCTCCCGTTGCTCGGTCCCTGCTCCTGCCAACCTAGCAGTTCGAAAGCACGTCAAAGTGCAAGTAGATAAATAGGTACCACTCCGGCAGGAAGGTAAACGGCGTTTCTGTGCGCTGCTCTGGTTTGCCAGAAACGGCTTAGTCATGCTGACCACATGACCCGGAAGCTGGACCCAGAAGCTCCCTCGGCCAATAAAGCGAGATGAGCGCCGCAACCCCAGTGTCAGCCATGACTGGACCTAATGGTCAGGGGTCCCTTTACCTTTACCCTTAAGGTGGCAGTTCAGCATAATCTGGGCTCTGTATAAAGATTTGTTAATGAATGAATTACCTATTTAATATACAAGCCAGGGACAACCTGCATTTCAGTGAATGCTGAACACAAACCTCTTTACTGTTTGTTTCCAGGACCCATCCTATTGCTGTGCTTGTTTTAACTGTTTTTAATTTTAACCTGGCAGGGATCTGCTGGTGAATGGCAGGTGACTATTCTTCTTCTTCTTCTTCTTCTTCTTCTTCTTCTTCTTCTTCTTCTTCTTCTTCTTCTTCTTCTTCTTCTTATCCTGGACAGCAACATGGTGCCCATGGGTACCCACAGAGTACCACAGAGACCTACCAGGCTCTTGAACCTCCTCTAGGTCATATCATGAGCTACAATGGTCAACAACCCTGAGTTTCTTTTCACTCATCCATTTCGACTGGCCAGCAGGCATGGAAATGAGGGGGTAGAGAACCATCGGTTCTCTCTGTTGATGGTGTCCAATTAGAGCCGTGTTCTCTTCACCCAGCTGCCAGCAGAAGAACATTTCTAATTGGACACCGCCGGCAGAGGGAACAGTTATAATGGGATGCTGCCAAGAGGCATGTCCAGTCTGAGATTTCAAGTCAGCATCTATGCCTGACTGCAAGCCCTGCCCCCCTTCCCCAAACCCTCACAGTGTTAATGGACGAAGGAAGAAAAATGGAGCAGGCCACGGGTGTTTAGGAGAAAAGGTGTCCCGGTGTGTGTGTGTGTGTGTGTGTGTGTGATTGAGGAGAAAAACAGATTGTGATTGTGTCTGTGTGTAAGAAAGGAAGTAAGTTTGCATTCTGTGGAATGTGTGGTTTGCCTGACAGACCTTTTTTTTTTTTTAAGTGTTTTATAAAATGAGCACTGGAGTGGTTTTGCATTTCAAGGCTCAAGACCGCACACCCCCACCTTGTGCTCAGTTCCTTGTACAGTGGTACCTCAGGTTAAGTACTTAATACTTTCCGGAGGTCTGTTCTTAACCTGAAACTGTTCTTAACCTGAAGCACCACTTAACTAATGGGGCCTCCTGCTGCCACTGCACCGCCAGAGCACGATTTCTGTTCTCATCCTGAAGCAAAGTTCTTAACCAGAGGTACTATTTCTGGGTTAGTGGAGTCTGTAACCTGAAGCGTATGTAACCTGAGGCACCACTGTATTTTGCCTTGCCAATGTGCTTTCCCTGAAACAAGCATTGTGTGGCTGGCCATGCACACCGCGGTCACCATTTTATAAATGGGCACGCCTCCCCCATCCCAGCTATTTTGCGATGGCTCCCACAACATTCTCAAAATCCTGCTTGTGCTCATGGGCCAGAAAGTTCGAATAACTCTTGGTGCAATGGCATGCCTGGACTTAGGCTGTTTCAAGGAGTGCATGCACTCAGTAGCGCACACTCAGCTCTTGCAGGTGACACACATAGGAGGCGTCAGCAAAGGGCAGCTCCTTTGCAGTCCAGCCAGCTAACAGGAGAAAGAGTGCATAACCACAGCAATCCACGTAGGCTACACATCTATTTTTGTACTGTAACCATTGGAGCGTTCATCAGGTGGGAAAGGAACCCCCATCTTTTCAAAGACACCTCCTATACTTACTATTAAATATCCTCCCCCCCTAGAGTTTCAACAAGTGCATGCAACTTCCTTGAAAAAAACGCCTCAAGGGGAGCCTCTCCTAGTGACATAACCCATTATAAGCAAGTACGGACAAAATAATTAGTTACTCAGAGCAAAAAATGATGAAAACAAGGGAGTCTAGCATTGCAGTCTCTCCCAGACAGGAAAGAGTCACAACTCCATCTGTCTACTGCAGAATTACAGAAACAAAACAGAACACCCAACGCCAAATACATGATGGGTCACAGGGTGGAGGGGAAGAACCAGTTAGGCTAGGTAAATAGAAAAAATCTGGCCCAGTGATAACCTTAGGAATGGCCCTGCAAGCATTGTGACTCAGGGGGTGTCAGTGTTTATGGTTAAGTATGAAGAGTCAACATTGAGAGGGATTTGGAGCCAGACATTTGCTTCAAGGCTCCTTTTCAATATAATGCATCTACAATGCAGTCATTGCCCAGCAGATCATATGAAGCAAGCTGGTTGATTTCACAGAAGCTTCCAATGAAGAGACCAAACAGTTTTGCCTTCTTCAAAAGCAGAAATGGACTAGATCAAATTAAGTCTTGAGTAATGTTGCAAGGGGAAGTAGAAACATATTAATATCTATTAACCTGTACCATTGGAAGGACAGATCCTGAAGCTGAGGCTCCAGTACTTTGACCACCGATTGAGAAGACTCCCTGGAAAAGACCCTGATGCTGGGAAAGATTGAGGGCACAAGGAGAAGGGGACGAAAGAGGACAAGATGGTTGGACAGTGTTCTCGAAGCTACCAGCATGAGTTTGACCAAACTGCGGGAGGCAGTGGAAGACAGGAGTGTCTGGCGTGCTCTGGTCCATGGGGTCACGAAGAGTCGGACACGACTAAACGACTAAACAACAACAACAACTGATATGTTATAAGAGGGATGGGGAGTGGGATACACTGCATGTCATGTTTCTTTACAATTCTGTATTTGTTTTTTGGCTATATATATATCAATAAAAACCTGTCAGGCAGAAGAAGCAAAAGTTTATTATTTGCATACATTTTTACTTTAACAATTGTTGCCTACATTTATCTTAAAAAGCTACTTAGCTAGGCCATTAGTGGCCCCATTTCACAGAAAAATGGCACAAGGGCAAGGCTATAGGATTTGAACTCAGGTCTGCATGCCATGCAAATCTCTCACCTTTATGGCAATCTGAGTTACAGCAAGTGAATCAAATTAGTGCTCAACTCCATGAAGCAGAAAGAGTTACTTGTCTGTAACGGTCCACTCTCATACCCTTTCATCTGCCATCAAGACATGGGAGGATTTCAGATGCGGGCAAATGAGAACTGACATTCTCCACTCTACAGTAGCAGAGCCACAGGGATTTCTCCCATAGTCTTCTTCCAGCTGCCTGACTGTTCCTCCCCCTCTATGCTCAGCCTGCTTTGCGGAGCTGCATCCCCTTGCCTTCTCCTCTTTCCCCCAGGGGTCTCCCTGCTCACCTATCACTCATTGTTTGTGCTAGGGAAGGGCAGAAAGTGGAACGAGAAAGCGAAAGGGTTCTGATGCATCACAGCACTTCTCAACAAGACTGGTACACACAGTGCAAGGTTACAGAATCATGCAGATCATGACTCTGTTTTGAGTTCTAGGTCTCAACACCGGTTCTTCAACATTTACCTTGCTTATAGCACCGAGAGCCTGCAAGACACAATGTTAGCAAAGCTGTTTGAAGCTATCATTTTAAATGAATGCAATAATCAAACCTTTGGGACTGCTGCAAACCCAACTCTGGAAACTTGTGGCGATGGGCAGGTAATAAATCTAATGAAGTGGGCATTTCTAGCCACATTTAGTCCAATTCTAACATATATGCTCACACTTATCTGAAGAGGAAAGCCGAATCATCCATAATGAAATGCACAGATCTCACGTTCCAAAGCCATCTAATAAAGACTTTATTCTAAGAGAGTATTATACTGTAATACCATTAGGGATAATGTGAAAGCATTCTGGACTCATTGCCCTGTGCACTTATGGCTAGGGGACAGCTCCACAGTCTTGCACCAAAGCCTCCTTACCCTGATGGATGAAGAAGTTTCCTACTCAACCACAGCAGCCTTTGCCTTTTGTGTGAGACCTCTCTCTCACAGAAAATTCAACTGTGAAAGATGTTATTCTCCTTAGCTGGAGTTTAACGTTCCAGAATGATCCAAAGAATAAGACATACCTGGAGGTTGTTGTGTTGCACACTTCCTTTACTGCCCAGTCTCATGATCTAGAAGTAAAGCAAGAGAAGGGCAACTCCCCTCTTCTACCTCTTTATTTGGGGCGGGTGACAGAGAAAAGAATGGAGCCT